CCAATTGATAAAGGTAAAATCCCTAATCTTAATCCTGATGAATGTTGTGAACAATGTGGAGCCTCTTGTATAGTTTATAAAACCAAAACTTCTTACACTATCAAGAGAAAGAGGTATATCAAACACAAAACCGACTTTACTCGCGAAAGTTCAGTCTGGTTTGGTTTAAACTGTAATTGTGCTAGAGAATTCAGAGAAGCCAATCAGCAAACTTGCCCTCAATGTAAGAAAAGAGAATTCCCCCATATGAAAAGAGGTTGACTATTAGACTATGAGATTAAAAAAGCTTTTTGTTCTCCTTTGTGCCACGTTACTTATCGAGAACTCAAATGAGAACAAGCCCAACGATTAACTCAAGTAGAAATGTTCCCCCCTGAATTGAATGTAGAACTTAACCCAACTCCTTCCAATTCTAGTTCCAGACCTAATGTTGATTGAGAACGAGAAGGTTTGAGAAGAGAAGTCTTGTTTTTAAGAGAATATTCTCGTGAACTACAACAAAGATTAAATAATCAATCTAATTTAACACCTGAAGAACGACAACAATCTAACTATCTAAGGAATTTACAACAAAATACCTTACAGAATGCTGAGAATAGTTACAAAAACAAATATGGAAGTTTAGTAGAAGATAAACCAAAAGGCTCTGATAACAAAGGCAAAGGAATAGGTAATGGAGCAATCGCTTTACTAGCAATTGCTGGAGTATCAATAGTGGGAATAATTGCTTACTTCTTAATCAGAAGAAAGCCGAGTAAAAAATACTAAAAGTATGAATAATCGACAAATAATCAATTACATAAAAGTTAGAGAAGCGTGGAGGGATGCTCTTCGTGCTAAATCAAATGCCTTATCCTCAATTTGGAGTGGCTTATTCAGATTTGGTTCTTTTTTGGCTTATTATGCCTTAGAAAAATATTTTCTCCATGAAGAAATTGCTAAACTTTATGAACATAATCCTAACTATAAATACATTTTCTACCTCTCTTTAGCGTTTGGAGTATGAGGAGTGATTGATAGTTTGATTGGAGTAATTAGGTATTTTCAAGC